GGTGCTGTGCAGCCTGCTCTGGGTGACCCTGCTTCAGCAGGGGGTTGGGCTGGGGGATCCCCAGAGGGCCCTGCCAACCCCCACCATGCTGGGATTCTGTGATCCTGTGAAAAGCATTATAAAAACTCCAAGACATCTCTACATTAACAAACACTTTGGGCCAATCAGACACGATCAGGCAATCAAGGCGTTTCAGGCCAAGGCTCCTACGGCTACACCCTCTGCGCTTTGAGGGTTTCCTCTGAAGTAGATTTAATCTGGTCCCCACCTGATACCTGGTTTGAAGTTGTCTAAAGGACATCACTAGCATGTCCTTTACTGGTATGGCCAGCCACTGGTATGGACCTGCATGTCCCATGAGAGGTTGAAGGACATGTGACAGGCAACTAGGTGGAAGCTTCAGAAAAAGATCTGGTCCACACACATCAACACCACTTTGCACACGGAAACAACAACACAGTCGGTGGTGGAAGTCACCCTCAACGTGTGGTACTGTGCTGAAATAAAGCACCAGCAACATATTTAGCCCAAGGGTTACTACTAGTACTTTTAGTAACAGATGCCACAAATAGGACCTGAGAGAGAAAGGGAGAGGTGTCATAGAGTTGCAGAGATCTCCTGGCCATATTCACAGAACCATAGAATCATTAAGGTTGGAAAAGACCTCCAAGATCATCAAGTCCATCCACCAACCCAACCCCACCATGCCCGCTAAACCATGTCCCCAAGTGCCACATCTACATGGTTCTTGAACCCCTCCAGGGATGGGGACCCCACCACTGCCCTGGGCAGCCTGAGCCAAGGCCTGACCACTCTTTCAGGAAAGACATTTTTCCTAATATACAATCTGAACCTCCCCTGACGCAACTTGAAGCTGTTTAACTGTTAAATCACTAATACGATCCTTCAAGTCCAGACAAGAAATGCCCAGTGGGACAGGGAATGTGAGAGGCATCTACAAAAAAATAAATCACACACGACCTGGAGAACGCGGAGAGGCAGCAATCATGCTCTTTCTCATAACCCAAGCAAGCGGAGGCATCACAAGAAACAACTGTGTTGCAGGTTCAAAACAAGCAAAGGGGGTGGCTGGTTGCTTTGCTTGCCTCAGCACGGCCCTCGCTGCCAGGACGGTGGGATTTGGAAAGTCTCCCAAGGGACTGAGCAATTCCTCCTCTTCCCCAGACACCCTGCTAGACCGACGTTTAGGCCACAAGGACCTTTGATCCGATCCCATCCAGACCTTTGATCCGATCCCATCCAGCCATCCTCGTGTTCCCAGGAGAAAAAGTCAACATCCAGGCTCCGGTTTCGTTGCCTGGCCACCCAACCAACAGCATGATGCTGGCATTGGCCTACGCTCTCAACAAACGTGCCCACGGTGCCAAACAGTGCTCTTTGCAGGTGAGGACCCCTGGGAGATCCCTGCAGCAAGACCGAGGGGCTGCAAAAAGCCACATCCTACTCATCAGTCAAGCGTAGGTCTGCGGCTCTTCGTGTCGGCCATCTCAGAGGATCTGTAAGCTGAGGATGTTCTGCAACAGAGCTAGGAAATCATGGGTCCACCTAACTCCAGTCTTGCGTTCTCCTTCTCAGGCACACAGAGCCAGCCTCTCACCCAGCTGAGCCTTCCTGCCCAAGAAATAAAGTTTGTGAGGGTCCCTCTTCCCTCCGCCTTCCAGCTCAACGTGTGTTCCTCCCCCCAGAACCACACTGTGATGGCTGGACATGCTCCTGGGCAAGGATGGAGTCACGGCAGCGTTTCTAAAGTGCTTCGGTCAATGCACTCATCACTACATTTGTGCTTTTCTAGGTGTGAAGAGTAGAAATAAATCACAATTTAGTGAAAATTGCTGTGGATGTCTGGCTCCAATTAGGTGTTGGAGCAAAACAGTAAAAAGAAACACTCTTATTAAGAAGGATGAAAGAAAATGCTTCTTGGTCGAGAGAAAGAGATTGCAATCACGGTAGGTGTATGAGCGTATTGTGAGGAAGAGGCTGTGCTTCCTCCCTGCTTGGTATGCAGGGTGTTATTTCCATGCATGAGAGAGTCAGCA